AAACTGTGTCAACTTCCTGCTCAATTGGATGAAATTCCTAATCATAGTTTACAAGATCCAATACATCGATTTTACACATGGCTCACGGGCCTGCATATTTTACAGCAGTGGAAATAGAATTTCTTTTGATAAACTCAACCATTGTAATAAGATTTATAAAAATGTTTCGTTCCAAGAGAAATCAACAATTACAGATCCGTCTTGATTAAAGGAGATATCATTTTCCATCTATGGCAGGAATTGACGTTTTCCGTTGAAATCGGGTTCATCTTTTGATAAGCCAGTTTGTGGCTCATTACTCTTCACTAGATTAGCAATCGTTAAAACAGTCAGACTTATCCAATAAGCCATTTTGGCCACCCTTGCGACATTTCATTTTGAAATACACAATAACATGAAACAAGCTTTGAGAACATAGCGCCATTCTGAACTGAATTCTATAAACGTCTTAGTTCATCTAAGTGTACAAGAGTTACTTATACAGTGCTAATTTTAAATAATTATTCTTGCTGGATTTATTATTGCATGACCAGCATTGAAAAATTACACAACTCTTTGAAATTCTTGTTTTACCAAAAAACATTGAAAAATCTCATTTCTTGAAATCTATTTTAAATTATCCTAACTTAGTAGTCATGATAAAGGCATAAGTGAATCGGTAGTTTAATCAGACCATGCATTTAAAATCTGTAGTCACTAAGTCACTGAGTTACCAATAAAAAAGATAAAATGCGCTCTCTAGAACTGAATGTTGATAATTCTAGCGAAAATCTCGGTTCTAATCGTCTTTGATATTGCTGGGAATATTTGAGGTCTAATTCAAATTTTCTAATATAATTTAAATGCATAAGTGGAATTTTTTTACCAGGGCTCAAATGTTATTGCATTAGGTTATCAGAAAATTTAGACAGTTGTTCAGCATGACTGTGCATGAAAATACTTTTTTGCATACATTTATATCATCAAATAATGAATTACCTTACCTTAGCCAAACATTACATTTAGCCACTCTATAACAAAAACACTGATTCCCAGTACAAGTTGCAGAAACTAATTTGAATAGTATCATTTTATTTAAAACACTTCGTTGCATATATGTATCTTAAGGTCGCAATAAGGATGTCTGAATTGGAACCAACGAAGAATCTCTTATACCATATATTATCATTTCAAGTAATAGACCGTTTCAAGATTTAACAAACCATACGGCTGCAAAATTGAATTTAGATCATCGATAAGATCTCTCTCGTATGTGTCATACGAATGGTAGGTTGTCTAGTGCTTACGGCTTGTATTGTTTATGTCATTATTTCAAAGTTGCACCGGGTATGATTACATTTAGAAATAGCAAGTTGAATCAAAATGAAGAAAATGCCAAGAATACATTGATATAACTCAGCTGAATATCATCTCAATTAGAGAGGAAGAAAAATGTAGTAATGATTGATATTAGAGAGGTAGAAAGATATAGAAAGATATAGTAATAGTAATAAAATGTTGATAGGTATTTATAGTTCTATTCAGAGCAACCTTGTTCTTTAAATTCATTAAGGCTGTATGAGATAAACATAAAGCTATGAAGGCAGCCAATATCACGTTCATGCTTTTTCTCTAATTACAATTTACACATAATGATCTCCTTATAAAAAATTGTCAAAAGTTTTTTAAGCAATCTTGCTAACTTTGTACTTCCTTGGTAACATTTTTAGCAGATCAGAATTTTGAAAAGATAGTGGAATGAGTTTCAATAATTAAATTCTTTTTTCAACAAATATATGCAAGAATGAAAGATAACATTGGATGTTCTGACCTTCTTTTGTTATGGACAAGGAATCGAATGGGAGTGGCAGTGATAATACAGGACCAGACTTTTGCTCGATTATTTAGTTTCTATTTCCATAAAAATTAGGGTTTTTTTATTTCTCATCATATCATTCTGTATCATTTGAGTTTATCTATCTATATTTATCTATCTATCGAAACAAATTTTAAAAGTTAAAATGGTATGGCATTAAGTTTTTTTGCGGCATCAGATGGAGATGTTTTGTATAAACTGAAGGAAATTACATTCTATGGATGCAATCTCTAGTAGTGTGGTGGCTCAAACGTGGCTAGAGGGCATCAGTCATTTATGGTACCTTCAAAGAACTACACCTTTGGTACGATTCTATTAGAGATTGTGAAACATGATTGGAAGTGTGGGACACACATTTTTAAGATTGTTAAGGGGTTTCGTGAGAGCCATCACATGGCTTGGAGCAGGAAGAGGTTTAAAGATACAGCATTGTAGAAACGGCCGGAAACTGCATCCAAGATATTCTTAACATCTTTTTAGACAGAATGAAGATCAATTAAAAGGTTCTTACATTTTTATTCATCATAATGCCGAATGTTCAGGATAATTAAGAACTTCAGTATAGGCCGCCACCACGACTAGCCACTACGGTAGGCGGCAGGAAAAGCTCTCACAGTATAATATTTTAGAAATGGCCGGAAACTGTCAATATTTACACCATACGTAGAATGCGGCCAAATAAAGTTTCTATAGAATGTTCATAAGCCTATTTTTGCTACAATCTCCTATTGCTGAATTTATTTTGAAGTTGGCATGACCGCGACGTGATGACAAGTAAAACTCTAGCAAAATTCTAGGAAAACGTTTAAGAATATATTAAAACGTAAGAAAATCGACAGTAGTGCTATACTTCTAGAAATACAGCGCTACTTAACTTTGCAAAGTTGAGCAACTAGCAGATTGAATATTCGTGCCCAGTCCTATTACATTGCGAATGAGGAAAGCAAGAAAAGAAAGAAAGAGACGAAAAAATAGGTCTTCATACTTGAATGTGTGTTGATTTTTCTTTTTTGTTCAAATCTTTTTCAACGAACAATTAGAGTCTAATTGCCTTTAACCTCTCCCCCCCTCCTATTGTTGGTCGCTGGCAGGTACATGCCCCGCCCCCTATTGACTCTAAATTAATAAAAATTGAGTCATATTTTGTTAGTAACTAGAAAGAATGGCCTGTTTTGGCCACACCTAAACAGTTTTCTTCTTCTTTAAACTTTCTTGTTTTCACTGTTCATCAATATAAGAGATTTTCGCCCCTTTGAATATTTTTAATTTTAATATGATACTTCATCCGGGAACTTCATTAGTTTTGTTTTGCTTTACTTTTTCTCTATACTTCTAACAAATGTGGAAACAGTCGAGAATATTGAAGCTATATGTCAATAGATCCTCAAATAGCTGCTTACAACCATTAATTCGTCTTTCTTGCTACCAAACTGAAGCTCTTCCCTTCTTAATTTGCTCTATATAACACCAACATTTTACGGTAGTGGGTTTAACGAATAATACTGCTTATACATCTTTGATTATGATAATTTGACAAACTGGTTTGCATCCAGCAACTTTTCAATTTTTCACTGAGTGGCTTCCCAGTGAATAAAGTCTGGAACAAAGAGGCATCCTCGCCTAAAATTCCCCTAAGTACGCTGATGTGAGTATTTATATTAGAATATTAGAAATCCACAGAAATTTTCGTTTTAACTTTTTATGGAAAGACAGACTGGGTTTTGTCAGTAACAAGTTGCGTATAAAAACTTTTAACTGTAGTAAAAATGTATTTGTAAAAAGATTCCTAAATTACACTGGTTGTGGCTCATGGAAAAAATCTAATCATAATTGAAAAATACCGTTGCATAACACTCTAGAAATATGTGCTTTGAAAGAAATAAAAAACACATTCAGAGGCATCAAGAGAGGAAAATAACAAATAGGAAATGCATATCCCCAAGATACAAGGCACCATTTATTTGTGCAGATGGTTGGCATCTTTGTGGTATTCAACTGGTCTACACTTTCTGTTTTACTATTTTCTATTCATACTTAACTGTCCTTTTCAACGCATAGAGATTCCTTTATAAGATTTTGCGTTTTTAAAATTTGACAAAAATATGCAAAAGACTTGTTCCAAGTCAAATAATAATTTTGAATGTTAATCGATTTTTTAAAATATCATGTCATGTAAAACTTACGTACAAGGCGCTTATGATTAATAGGCCAAGATTTAGGAGGCAAGAAAATACCTGGGCTGCTTTATCATTGGAATGGCAATCGATGCTTGTTAGACTTTCATCAATTCAATAAAACCAAATGGCGGGCCATTGCAGTTATCACTGCAATCAAGATACTGTAAAAAACTCAAGATGGAAAAGACTTCAAATAAAATCAAGTTTGAAAAGGCCCTACAAATATTCCTAAAACCAAGGGATTGAATTTATCCAAAACAATGGTTTTCTAATGGATAGTACCACGCTTGTGCTGCCCAGTTGCAAGACAACAGCTCCGACATTAGTTTTTTATTCTTCTAAAAGATAATCACAGAGCAACAGAGCAACGTCACCGTAATGATGGTCATTCTCTGAAAAATTATCATGATTGCAAGCCATCTATGAATGTAGCCTTTTAAATTATTGATAGAAATTAGGTACTGGGAGTCTCTAAAAAAAAATGGTTTATAATCAAGTTAGTTAGACTGATCACAGAAATGCTTCAATGAATTTGTGAGACTTTTTCAGATATTAAAGTTCAAACTTCTTCCATAGTTCCATTTGCATATAAATTTGCGCTCCTATTTCTCATATACATAAACATTGCTTTGTCCATTTTTTGACTTGTCCCCTAAGCTTCTAGGTCAGCTTTCAACGACAACGTAATTTCAATGTATTTTTAATAGACCTATAAAAACTGCTGTTTCAGAAAATTGTACATTCATTGGCGTAATGACAAGCTTAGTTTCAAGTCGCTGGCTTGATTACGTAAAAAGGCAAGCCAGCGAATGTGACACAACAACTATGGTCTTGGCTTTTCTAAAAGTCTTTGCTGCATCTCTCCTCACCACCACCATCACCCCCTAAACACACCCCCCCCCACCCCCAACAAATCCGTCTGCTAGTTCCAAACCCCTGTTGTTTATAATAGTCCCTTTCAATCATGTTATAAACAGAGAGTCTTCGACTTAAAAAAGCGAAAAATGACCAACATTTTTGCAAAGCAAAAGGTTCACAGTATTTCACATTTCAAAAGGAGTTCTTTTCAGCATCCCAAAAGATAAGACAGGGTGTCCAAAATGACGAGGTATCCAGGGACCTTCCGCCGTTCATTGATAAGCCACCTCTTTTACTTAATCTTCCCACTGGGCAACACTACAGCGAACTGTTCTGTAACACCATGCTTTATTAGACAAAAATAAAGTTAAAGTCAGCGTTACATAATCACTTTTGTAAATGGCTGAAAGTTAGGGCTGACACGATTCTGGTTGGAAATCATCTTAAATGCCAAAGCTGTGTCTGATTAAGCCTTTCAAATGATGTTGGTCGTTGTCTAAGAGTTTATCATAATGTTAATGAGCCCGCGTATTCATTTCTATCTATATTCCTTTCCTGAACTGCAATTATGAATTTAACTTTAATAAATCTGCATAACACTCATAATTCCTTCATTCCAAACAGCATTAATATCGACAAGATCCTGGTTTTCCCGACTGTTTCCGTAACTGTAGCTAACAAACACGAGAATATCGATTTTTAGGTTTCCGTAAATAGTCACGATAAGGGAAGCCATGACGTCACAAAAGTGGATGGAAACGAGGATATGTTTTGCGAGGTTCGAAACTCAAACACTACCGACACATCTTCAATAGGAGATATTCTAGAGGTGAGTAGGGCAGCACAAAAGCAACCAGACGATAGTAAAGGCTATAGGAGAATTTTACTAGTATTTCATCTCAAGGTGTACTTTACCTCAAACAAGGTGTATTTAAAAGAGACATAACTGTAACATAGCGCGACCAGGCCAGATTCTGAACCAGAGATTAGACAATAAGCAAGCGAATTCTTACGTGATGCTGATATTTTCTTGGTATACAATATTCATATGTTAATATCTATATATTTAATAAATTCATATATACGTTCAATTTACAATACAACAATTTCGACATACAATGCAGTGAGACGTATTTGCATATTAATATCTTTCGCATTACAATATAATATAATATTCAAACAGCTTGGAAATAATTTTCGATTTATATTTATGCTAATAAATTACCCACACTAGCTGAAGTTGTGACAGCTTGTCAGCTCATCAAATCGAAATTGTTTAGAAAATAATTGAAGAAAAATTCGACGAAATTTTAAATACAATGGAATTAATAATAGCACAGCTAAGAGGTAACATGATAAATACTGCTTGGATAAAATAACGTGCAGAGACTTCTGGAGGGTCAACTTTGATGAATCTCTCTCAAGGAGCTTCAATGGCTGACAGAAGACTTGTGCAATGACCTGGGATTTCACGAGAATTTCTATCGGCCCTTTGATGTCAATTCACATATTTCTTCGCAAAAAGGCTTTAAAAGTTTAACGGAATTATTTTATCATCACTGATGGTCTCAAGTTGTTCTCTTTGTTTAGATGCACAGTTCATTTGCAGGTTATGTCAACAAATAAGAAAAGAACTTCGCAAATGTTGCATAATACTTACAATTTGTAGCATTCAAAATCTGAAAACAAAGAACCAAAAATTGAACAGATTTTCTTATGATTTATACTGTTTACCGGTTTTTTGAAGTTGCTATGGCGCGAATGAAAACAAATATGGTTGATATCTGACTTTTTATTCAATTTGTATTTAAAGTTAGTAAGGGCAAAGGAATTCCTTAACAGAAAAATTTTGTTTAACGAATTTTTCAATCGTTTAGCATGTAAGCAATTCTATTTAGATGTCAGCAGGGCGTGTTGCTAAATTTTTTCGAATTCCTTAAAGGACGAGTTTGTAAAATTTAATAAAAGTAGCTTGCTGGATGGAATCTTAATTCATCAATTCTTTTACAATATCAGGTTAAATTAGTCTTCGCCTAGAATGTGGTGCTACGAAGATCTTTTCATTCTTCACCCGCTAAATTTATTCAAGATAAATTAATCAATGGGAATTTTGACCGCATTTCATGATAATCTATTGACAAACGCCTTTAATCTTGTTTTGTGTTGAAATGGCTTTTTCTAGCTACGCATATTTTCACAAAGTGAAGACCACTGTCAAATTATATACTTAAATAAAGGCAGTTTTTAGTTTGTTTGTTCACAATAGTCTTTGATGTTCAATCGTTTTCTGCTGTCTGGTCGAGTAAATCCTGCTTTCTGCGATATCGTTCTAACAAGGTTCCTTGCTTAATTTAATGAACTCAAATAACCTTTGAGCTGGACATTCGGTTGCTTTTCAATTAGCAGGAGCAATGATCCCGTAGTATCGTTGCCCGCGATTTCTGCAGGGACCCGTGTGATCTGCTGCGCTTCATTCGAACTGTTAAATTATCAATTACGAGCTCAACCCGTAGTCCAATTAGGCCAGCTCTAGCCATTTGAATGCTAGCCATTTTGGACCGATCAACTGGCCAACTTTTGAGTTTACCATTGACAATATACATCACTGCATCTCTGCATGCAGTACCCAGAGTTATATACTGGCTTCAGCACTGCTGCTGCCGGAGAGTGTCTCGAGCTCGAGGTTGACGTTGCCTCCTTTTCAGGATTTTTTCCTCGAGAATATCTGATGCTCTTAAGCCCTCTTCGACTGTCAGATGGAACACTGTTGAAGGCCCTTCCAGATTTTCGCTGTACAGAAAGTTATGATCAATGGCTCGCAGTCTCAGAGTGGAGAGCAGAAAACTCTTCATCTTGCCGACAGGTGACGTCCCCACAATCGAGAAATTATTCATTGCAGCGTTGAGAAACAGGTAATGGAAGACGCACATAATAACGTTCGTTCCCCTGTATTCTTTGGCGATTGCACACCGTTGAATTTCGTAAACATATTCATTGTTAACCGGACAAACAGCGCGAGCGATCTGTGGCTTCTTGCTTGATTCGTACCGCGTGAGATCAAGATGACCCTGTGCATTTCTGTGAACCCTGCGCGCAACAGCAACAACCCTGTCTTCTTCAAACACTCCAAACCAGTTAGAATGATCCTCCAAATCGTCTGTTAGCAAACTTTTTCCACAGTCAGATTTCTCGATTCTAAAGCCTATTATAAAAGGAAAGAGTTTTAATATTTGCAGATAATGCAGTGAAAAACCAAAGTTGATGAAAAATCTAACACATCAAAGAGGATGATTAAAGAAACTTTCACTAAAATTATCACAGTTTCTAACAAATTTGCAGTGGCTTGTTTTGAAGGCTATGGCGGAACTTGCAAGTACGTTTGAAAGAGCTTGTTGTCAGAATAAACACATAGTATGCAAAGAGAGAAAGTTGAGAGCAACAAACATTTTCTGTTTAAAAATATGCTATATCAAGTAGAACTGTACTCAACAACATCTTTCAGAAAACAACCTACGTAATGGATACAAAAACGAATTACCAATATTTATGCAAAGTAATTTGGGCCAAACTCTTTGAAATAAAGAAGAACTTCTCACATTGTCGCAAAAAAGGATTTGCATCCGGAGGCTTGTGAAGTTTACAAAACAATGTCAAAGGCAATTAGTATTAAAAGTTTGCGTAATCTAATAGAAAGTCCGCTTTGCTAGCAATGTAGCGACTTCTAATTAAGACCACCCTTGAGAGGTATACAATCGTATCTACAAAGAGATTTTGAAGGCGTTTCATCGTAGATACGGTTCTACTCTTGATAAGACATAAAATCCAATATATCAACCAAAATCTCAATATTATTAGCAGACTGGTTAGATATCATGTTAGGCTTAGCAGATGATTTAGATATTTTATGTATTAGCAGATGAATTAAAGGCATTATCATCGAAAATTTTTACAGAATAGATAATAGCAATTCGAAAAAGAAGTACACGTGAAATAGAGAGCGAGAATTTTACCTGTTGGATTGTTCTTAGCAAACATCCAGCCCATCTCCCGCACGTAGACATCATATATCAGTGCTTGAGCTTGAATAACATCACTCTTCTTAACAAGTTTGTGAATTCTCCATGGCTGGTACAGATCATTTTCTTTTGGCATATCATATGATTGAACTAGAATAGCAATGCAATATAATACTACATGCAAAAAAAATTCAACTTAATTAGGTCTCAAAATCTAATATTGAAGAAAATCAATTCAGAAAGTCTCCAGAAAATCAATTCAGAAAGTTTCCAGAAACTCAATTCAATCATTTCCTGTCAGCATACAAACTTGATTACAGGATACTCGTATGAAACAGTAAGTTTTCAAGGTCTTATCTTGCCAGTGTTTATCAGATACCTTGGGCTTTCTTGAACTAAACCTAAATTTATGGTTTGGAGAAATCTGACATGACCTCGGCATATTTTATGTAATTGTTGTTTCCACGTAAAGTGGATGTGAGATAAGCGAAAACTATCGTCGAAAATGCGGTTAAAAGACGATTTTCTCCATTTGTTCGCGGAATTTCAAGGCGGAGCACTAAACCCCCAACTAGCAAGAAAAGGAGAATGCATTGCAAAACTTTCTGTTGGTGGTCCAAAGTGTGCAAGATCATTCCGCAGCAGATCCAGGCCGAATGGTTGACTTATCAGAGGAGAAAATACATTGAATTATCTTGATGGAAAAGCACGGTCTTAAAAGAAAGCAATCGATGTTTTAAAGCACAAAATAGATAGAGCTTAGCTCTATTCAATTACGTCTGTGTTTTTATTCAGAAAACTCAAGTTAAAATGCGGTATCTGCCCGTCTATCGGGTCACGAAATAATGACGAAAACTAGATTAATTTCCCATAAATTCTTTAGCCAACAACAACGAAATGTGCAAATAACCTTTTTGTGGTACAAAACTTAAATGTGGCTTGAACGTCAGAACATAGATCGAAAACTCTACGCTAGGAAATATCTATACCAAGTTGTGGATCGGAATAAGCCAATCAGAAACGCGAGCACATGACTGTTGAGGTTGCCCAATCAGTGCCGTTTACCTATTAGATATTAAGTTTTCCTAGCGTGGAGTTTTCGATCTATGTTCTGGCGTTTTATTCTTTGAAGAGTGTCAGACGAAAAGCTTCAGTATACTCGAATGCTTTCCTTTTTCAAAGCCATTAATAACAAAATAGTCCCTTTCAAGCTGCAGAATTCGAAATTTTGCTTAAAAAATCTCAAGGGCCCAAGTGGTTTCTGGGTACTGTCCAAAAGCCGAAACAAAGATAGAAAGTTTCGATTGGCTTACAGTGAAGTTGGTGATTGATGTACAAGGGAAAGTTTGAAAATGCGTTTGTGCTTATCTTTTACATGCTTCACCATAGTCCAGCTTGTTACTCGTAATTGACGCAATTTTATTTAAATCTTTCTTCAATAATTAATTGCCCATCTTGGATCAAAATCGTTGGCTTTCTTCAGGTCAAATTAAGAATCCATGCAGGAGAAGGAATGGTAACAGAGTATAGATGTGGGGAAGCATATATCCCAAACTTTGAAGCAATAATTTATATCTCCCAGACAAAGTTTGAAGTAACAATTAATTGATAGTAAGAAAAAAGTTCAATATTTTGTGAAAGAAACTACTCTTTGCCCTTTCTTCTTAGGTGAAAACTTCTGCTTGACACTTCCAGCGAGGGTTTGACTTAGAAATGAACATTTAATGGACCAATCAAAGTGTCAAAGTACAATTGGGTTGCCCGAAACATCAACGTTGGACACCACTCACAGTTGCAATGGTTTTAAGGTTGTTTTTGATTGCCGAGTCAAGTGCACATGTTGTATTTGTGACACATGTACAATGCTAAACTGGGTCCGTTTACACGGTGTAATTCGCGAACTCAAAAAGTGTGAGTTACATGAAACAACTGTATTGGCAAACAGGTGAATTGAGAAGTAGAAGTGTCTTGACCTGATGTCAAGTATATCTGTGTGTGCAATCACGTACTGGTGAGAATTGCTCTATGTACACGTTTAGGTCATACAGATGCCCGCTGTATCACTGAATAGAAAGCTTGGATAAAATTGGACAGTATGGCTTTATTGGGTAAGGCATGGAAGCAGTAGGGATGTGTGGAGGGCATCACAGCCGCTACCATGGCGCATGCCTTATATGGTTTCGTATGCCTCTTATGGGCAACAGAATTCCACGGTTGTTTCATCAAACTTAAACAACCTCATTGTTTATTGCCAATTGAAGTATCTCTCTAATTCATTCATTTGCTGAAAATCGTTTCACTTTCGAATTATTTTTAAAACGGTGAAGTAACAAGGAAAATTTGCGGAAACAATGCGTAAGGAGACCTAAAGAAAAGACACGCAGTAACAAAAGTACTTTGAAGACGATTGGTTAAGCTGAATATTTTCCATTTACGAAATTAAATCGGCAACTGGGAAGAGGGAAATCCAATGGGTCGATTGTGACAATGGGACAAGGCTTGACTTGAGATTTCGAGAAAAATAATTAGTTAGATATGAATAGTAAAATTAGTTATTTCAACGTTTGCAAAATGACTGAAACTACCAGGTTTAAAGAAAATGAACATTTTTTGTTTAATCAATCGTTTAAATGATGTGATCAGGCTTCCGAACTACATTCTGTGCTTTTTAGATTCGCAGGTTAAGCACAAAATTTCAGGATGCAACGACTTCGCTAGAAAGTGACGTGATGGTTCCAGATTGAAATTTTGTTCATTGCGTAATTTAATGGCATATTTTGTAGAGCTACTTTAGATACCACCTCAAGTGCAGGCAAGCAAAGCTCAGTTAAAAGCCCGTCAAGATTAGTATTACAAGACTGTACTTCTTTCGAATATGTGTAATTCCGAACACGTACACGGAATGTGTGTCATTTTAAACGCATAATGTGTGATTCTGAGCACGTAATGTGTGTGTAAATCGAAAGTGTATCCTAGATATTATTGAAAGTAACTGGAACAGAAATTTAAAATTAAGTTTTTCGCACAGTGGAAGTATTCTTATATATATCATAGAGATGACGAAAATCAGACTACTTGATTTATCTCTACAAGCCTGTTTCGTGAGTAACTCACTCTTAAGGAACTCACTCTCCTAAAGAGTGAGTTACCCAAGAAACAGGCTTGTAGAGATAAATCATGTAGTGTTATTTTCTTCAACTCTACGATATATCACGCTCTACGTGCTAACGTATTGAGCACTGTGCTACGGAAGTATCAAAAGAGAAATTTATTCTTATATATATATATGTATTAATTTCTATATAATTATATGTATTTATGTATTCCTCATACGTTGAAGGCACACATATATTTTTGATAAATTGGAAGAATTCACAGCTCAATGAACTTGAATTCCGATAGAAAGGACTGGATACTCGGAATTTAGAGTAGAGTGTCTTTAGAAAACACAGAACGACTTGTCACCAACATTTGAATGTGTAAATCCAGATAAATATGGCAGGAATGATAACATCTTTTCATTTTAACATGGATGACAACCTTATCATTGGAAGGAATGCTAAAAGCTTTAAGCTTTAATCAACAAAATTAGTGATAAAGTGAGCAATATGCGCAAATTTTCGTTGTTTTTTAAAATATGAATGAAACGAAAGACTTTGAGAATATAAGAAATGAAAACATAGCAGTAATAATTAGACATACTGCAAAATGACGGCTTCCTCACAGCGCACATGTTCGCTCCAATAACTTCAGGTTTTTCTGACACCACCTCGGTCTGACTGAGGCTTACAAGGCTTCGTCTTGTCGTGCTCAACATTTCTCTGCAATGGCGCAGACACTGAATTCTATTCATCATCGCATGCGATAATCCTCTAGTGCATAATGACTGCCTTATACTGGCTGATCGACAAACTACTGGAAGCTAGCTCTCAAACAAGCCTTTATAGTGGTGAGGTCAAGGGGCCAATAGTGGGCCACAGGAAACCAACAATGAGCCAGCTTATGATTGCCAACTCTATGCGTGGTTATGAAAGAATTGAGAAGCCCGCAAGCATAAAGAGAAATCCTCAAGACAAAGCAAATCTCCTTAACGACAACAAAGGGATCGCCTACAACGATGAATTAGGCTTTGACTTTGTAACAACATCTTACTTGCTAATATAAAATGGTTTTCGACGCAAATCAAATATGACCGGGCTATTGTAAACCTGGGTGTGCTATGCAACGGATTTGTGGTCTACGAAGCCAAGCGGACAGCAAGCGGTAACAAGCGCAAGCTCGTTGTAACGCCGTTATAATTAGCACGTGACTGATTTGTGGTTTCGAATAGCTTTCAAGGAAACTTAGGCAAAGAGAGATAAACGGAGTGTTGAATTATTGCTTTAAATGATACTTTTGAAAGAATTTTAATAGTTAACAGCAATTGAAAATTCATGCCTTCTTTTGTGGCTTATTACTGAAGATGTATAAACATTTTGGCGGACAAAAAGGAATGCTTTTATTTGCTTTTAGGTTGAAGAGAAAGATTGGCCTTTAACCGTATTCCATTGCGTGCCTTACATGATTATAAAGCAATCAAATGTTCTCTCAAAGACGACAAGTTACTTCGAAGAGGCAGCAAAATCCCAAAAACACTTGCGACTTGAGCAATAAAACAAATTTTTCTTGAGCTTCCTTTTTCAATGACACCGGAAAGTTACTAGATTTCAGTACAAGCCAGTTGCTGCTGTTACCATAGAAACAACTGTTACCCTGGGAATAGAAGTTATTTATTTTTTTCAGTTTCTTATTCTGCTTCTTCTTCTTGCTAGTGTCTCTAAGTGAATTATTTTCAATTTGTAATGAAAATTCCACAGGTAAATTTTTGATGACAATGCATGGAAATGAACACGAATATGGTTTTAAGTGAATGAGAAAAAGAATTCTCTAAAGAACTGAATGATGTACATAATCCTGAGCAGCATTGATTAAAATGTCTTACGTTATTCACAGATTAAATTTGTTGTCAAAATATTGCCTACAATGCGCGATAAAAACTCAGCCACTTTCCGCAAAGTAGAAAAAGAGGAAGAAAAATTTTTTTTAATAAAAGGCTTCTTGAGATAAAGTTATTGAAATATTTCAGCTGAGATCTGTAAACACTGGATTCTCTTTATCCATTAAGTGATCAGCTAAATAAAACTTGCAAACTGCCGCGTTGCTTCATTTGCCTTGTCGATCAAAATCGCAACCAAAGTGATTTGGGGCAAATAAATACAGTAACAGAAAAGCTAGCATATAAAAGACTAAAACCATATTGATAAGCCTTTGGCATTCGCTGAAAAGTTGTCAAACAATGAAAGATGATAAAGGGTTTATAGTTATTCTAAACCAAAGATGTTAGAAATATGCAAAGTGATGCTTCATTTTAAAGAGGACTGATTCTAGTAGGCTACGTGCAACTTTGCGCGTTGATAAGAGGCTTGGGCTCTACAGTTGGCAAGACGACACTGGGCTATTGATCTAAAGAAAATTCCAGTACGAATGACGTATTCTACAGGGGTCTTTGGTTTTTGGTTTTTGAGTTGTATACGAGCCTGTGGGTTTTGAGTGAATGGACATTGGCAAGTGGTTTTACCAGGTGTCCGTTTTCTGAGTTTTAGATGGTTTGATTAGGTTGTTAAAAATTTACTTAAGTTTACCTTTTCAAGGACAATCTCTTCAAAAGAGAATTTAAAGTTAACTACGATTTAGAGCTTAAGGAGTTACTACCCAAAAATCTCTTTGTCAAAAACATCTACTTTCGAATTGTCTAACAAATGTCGGAAAATGTGCAAATCGCGTCTAATACGTAGATTGGGTTAAGCTGGTAAAATCTCAAACATCAATGAAAGAATCAGGCAAATATTTGACAATGTAATGCTACATCAAACGGTTGAAATATTTTCCCATGAAACGATTTTCTCCAAGAATGTTATGACACAAATTGACATGAAGCTTTATCATTCTTTCTGTACTTTGCTGCACCTTTTAGATACAGCACGTAGATCGTTCAGTTTGAAAAATATGTGTTTGAAAATTGTGCCGCATAAGCAGGGCTGTATTTACTTATTTGGAGCGAAAATATGAGAAAACAAGTAGTCGAGGAAATCTTCTATTGTGGACTTGTTTGGCAGAAGGCTCAGGTTAATATCAGGAAATTCATCGTCTGATTTTTGATCGAGGATCAATTTGTAATTAGTGCTCAAACACGGCCTAAGAAGTTTGCTTTGAGATCAACGGCTGCGTTCTAGTAAAATGCTACATGTTTAAGAAACAAAAAGCGTTCCAAATGTTAATGTGACAAACCCACGCTGGTGTTTGTTTCTAACTCCAAGTTTGCTCAATCGCTATTACCCAGGCTAAGCCCAAGATGAGACATGGAGAAAAAAAGCATCACAGATTGGCTGCGTTGGCATGGCAACGAGATGGAAGACATGACGTTACTCGTATTTCATTATCAAGAGGCATCGACAGAAGACCAAAAAATGGTAGGTGAACCAACATGGCAGTTCTTTCAGTTCAGCAATCAAACATTTGTAAATTGATCTTTTTGTACTTCACGTTCCCCATATGTTTTCCGGATACATTTAAATAAAGCCAAAGAAGTGGAAATAGCTTTAAATTTAAAGTAGACATTAGAGATTTATATAAAAGTGTTAATCTAATGAAATCATTCTATCCTGAAGGGTGTCCTTGACCCTTTTTAGGCATACATGAATAAAACACTCGTTTTAGTGAACTTTCCTTGAAGACTACCCGGGGGCAGAATGCTCTTAGAAGATCACAGCGATCGTCATCAATTTTGGCAAATTGCCTCACAGTTTGTGTGGTTCGCGGTTGCTGATTTAGCAAGCTTTCTTGAGTTTCCTTGCTTTTATGTGGCTTTCATTAATATTTCAAGCGAATTAGCGTACATTTTCACCAGTCTTTCATGCGGCGTACATCACATTTTCAAATACGTATACCCAGATTAAATTAGCGCTATAAAACAGCAGACCAGCCAATCAAATGGATCCGACGTGGAACAGCTACTTTGTCACGAAGCAGTTCCAAAGCTTTGTTTGGCTACACTATATAAAAGAAGTTTATCTTCATCTCTTTTGTCTATATGATGATTATTTGGTTTGATTTGAATAATGATAAGCTTATTTGATGTCAGAACAACACCTTGCATTCAACTGCACATAAATCAACCCCAGAAGCTTTAAAATTGAGCTGTTACCATCGTTTTCTTTTGACTATAATACCAGAAACAACAGATATCTATATATATTTCTTCAATAACGTATCTTGAGCCATATTGCCGTAAAAAAAAGCGTTTCAAAGGACAATACATGTCTGTTTTACGGTGCGCAACTACGGCTGATTCCGAACAGCTAGAATATTGACAACCCTTAATCTACTTTTGAGCCCCTGGAAATGAAAAGTGATTTTGCACTTGCAATGAAAACAAGCATGAAAGCGACATTACTAATATTGAAAATACTCACAGCAAACTTGCTCTTGAGCTCCTGCAGAAAAATCTCTTGATCTGCATACAGAATGTTGCATGGAAAAAAAGACTCTCGTTGCAGAGACCCCTTTTGAAGAGACTGTCGCAGAAAAAGACCTCAGCGCCTTGGATAACATTTTGCAGATCTTGTAACGGTTTCAGCGAAGTTATAACCAATGCAAGGTGCCTCTGTGCTGGTATGTGCCTGTATCAGACGGTGCAATCAAGCAACTTCTCTGGAATAACTTCTGTAAAAGGACACTTCGAGGCAACTTATGTGTAGCGACTTCTGTTGAGCGACCTCTCGTGCTAATGAAATCAAACGGACTGAGCTAGTAGCACTTCGTCGTTACTATTTCATGTTCGCTAAGCCGAGATAAGATCGGCCTCCTAATCAGACTAAAAGAAGACTGGAGCCTATTGTAGACTCTTTGAATATTAAGGAGCCACACACGAAGCCCCTTTGCTCTCTTGAGACTGAAATCGCGCGTTGCCTGCACAACCCTGCCGCGCAGCAAATGCCAAGGGAACGAACCAGTACAGGCTAGCTTTCAATGTCGTTTGAATTTAGACTCTGCTCGCATTCAATACGCTTTCATAAGCATATATGCATAAAACATAGACTAGGTCAACCTGTACCGTTAAGAACAATGCCATTAAGGTCAAATCAAGGAGGATTTTTGATACACTTAATACAATTCAACCGGACACAATAGGACCTGCAAGTTGTATTCAGAGAGATCTCTTCGGCTTACATTACTCTTAAGATGGCATAGAATTATCTCTTCAAACAATAACCGATTTGATAATTACACAAGTCTAAACATGTTCTAATTATTGCAATATGAACTGTGGGAAAACTGACCAAATTGGCCAAGGATATGCATCACATTCACCTACAGATGTAGCCTCTACTTCGCACATATTCAGCGCTTGCATTTGAAGTGGCTTTCGAACTTGAAAACCATTCACACTTGACATTGCAATGATTTTCTGTTTGAGAGCGTTTTAACGTAATTTACTGGCAAATAACATAATTGAACTCCAGTACATTTTTATCTCCAAATTTTGTATCTCCAATATATTAAGGAAATCACACAAAATGATCGTCACCGATATTTATTCTTTTCATAACATCTGTCCTTTGAAATTCTAGCTATTACTTTGAAACAAACAACAACAATTATGCTTTATAATTTAATGCCATAGGTGAACATTATAGGGCACATACCCAATGGAAAACGAAAGCAAATATTGGACTGAATTTACTTGCACCTTTGAGCAAATGGAGCTTACATCTCTCATGGAAGTGCATGCATTGAAATTATTGTTCCTGGATAGAAAACAAGTCTATACATCTGCTGCATGTGTTTCGTATTCAGCGTATGGTATTCAATCTTTTAATCTTCACCTTTTTTTGATAAACGCTGGATTTGACTCTACAATAATCGGTTTTCAACAATCTTGGACCAAGACTTGAAAATTACCAACAAAATAGCCTCAACATTCAATTAAAATCACATGAGTGACTTGCTGACTTAAAATTGCCAAGCCTCGTGATACAATGAATTTTTTAAGCTCAAAAACATTTACTGCGTTCTTCATAAGAACAACTCTGTATTCTAGCTTTATTCACGATGTAACTTTATTCACGACAAAACACACGAAACTTTTTTTATTCACATCATTCAATGTTGGTTTACATCATAATAACTAATAAACAGTTAATCAACACCAACTTGTAATAATAACAAATATAACTACGAAAAATCCTGATGTTTACAAGTATCCAAATATTAGAAATATATTTTGTGCATAGTCTACACGAGCAATTAAGATCCATTTATTTAATTTAAGTTTTGATTGCGTTACAATTTTTTGTCAACCGAATGTCTAATGGTATAGAATTCCACAATTCATAACATCTATAGGATATTGTATCTAGCCCATAAGTAATAATTTTCGGCTCTTTTTGTATAAACGACTGATTTCGTAAATTATATTCAAGTCCATTTAACCTGCATATTTACGATCAATCTTCTTGAAACATTTGAATCAACTGCAAGGTGTCTTTCTAAACCTCTTCTGTTGCATCTTCAACGCAGAGTTCAACTAACTTGTGAAGCTAAACAAGCTCGAACATGAAGGAGTATACCGGAAAACCGCACCCTTTTTAAACTTAGGCAAACACTTTCAACGCAAATAACTATCTTATCACAATTTGGATAGCATCTTATCAGTTTAAGAAAAATGCCCATTAAATCCTATTTACAGGAGGATAAATGTGCATTGAGACAAGAGGAAAGTGATGCTGTCCAAAATGTTTAAGGTACTTAAGAATCAGGCAAGGAAATTGCAGTCTAGTGTGAATGGCTTCAAAATTTCACAATTGATGTTCTTCTTTAACAAGACAACAATTTCCAAACACTCATTGTTTTTCGTAGCCGTGCCAGCATTTTATTACCACCGGCAATGGCAATTGCACTGACATTTCTTTGAATTTTAAAAAACTGGATTTTGTCGCGCAATCACTCAAATTTTGGAATCCAATTCTGGATGCAAGCAGTCGTGAGAACTCGCTTTACGGAGATTCTGATTGTTATGGCAACAACTCTACAAATTTTCTGGTGGCAATGGGAATGGCGTGTAAATTAATGTGAGAAGAGTTTGGCAAATGTACATTGTAGATGTATACATAGGTTGGTTGACCTAAGTGCTTGAAGGAGAATTGAAAATTGTGACATATGAGCTACTATAGAATATGCTACTATTAGCAGAAAGTCGATTTCAGATTTTCAGCTGCTTTCTTTTTGATTGTGTCTGTGAATCTGAACGTGATGATTAATGAAAAATATCAATTATTTGAAAGATTACAAATCTGGTGCTATCCTGTCACAAATTCAATAGATTTAATTGACTTCGCGTCAATGTGCAAGGTTTACGTGAGATAATATAACAATCTTATACCTTTGGTTTCAAATGTTGAATTTCATAACCTTGCATTGTCGTACAGAGTAAGTGGTCGACATATATTCTGTCATTTGGCAGAGATATACTGTATAAACGACATTTAACTGCAGATTCCCTCTACATAACAACGTGGAAAAAACTAATTTCTGTCAAATGACTTCTTCTAGAAATCGATGGTTTACATGAAAGAAACACAGAAGTAGGTTAATCTCTTTAGACTTAATTGTTTGTTGCAGTTTCACATCAAACTTTATTGTTGACAGTTTATATGACACATGAGAGTCACTAAATGGCCACCTATAAAATAAGTTATAACAGAGAACAAAAATCAAAAAGGACCTTAATTAAAAAATCAAATAACATGAGTTAAAACAAAGCCAACGCTAAGCCGTTGCTAGATTTAGATACACACAGAATGAGAATATGTTCTAAAAACAGTCAAAATAAAAGCATAAACGGTTCAAAGTATTAATAAGCTCAGCTATATTTTTTTCATTTTACAACAATAGTAAGTGAATACATTTGTTCTAAGTCACGGAGCTATGCATTGTGAGCGACGCCTTTGCACAGCTTGTTTTCATTTTCAAGATGGCTGATGCCATTAGCCTTGTGTAGGGCTACTTGATGTGGCTCTTGTTTCCTACCCACCCACAACGCAATTTGCACATGATATTTCTCACGTATGCACAGATTTGCTGACTTTCTATGTCGCTAGCTACCATTCTAATCGCATATAGACGATTGTAAGACAGAAAAGCTGATCCTACCAAAGAGCCAGGATATTGTTTGAGGGCCACCAAAGATGTACCAGCTCTGTCGGACCATCTAATGAGACCTCAAGTGTCATTAATTATTATTATCTAAAATAACTCAATTAGATCTCTATGTCCGCTGATGCTCACAGTCAAATAGTGAATGTGTCCTTGTGTTATATACCTATTACTACAGGCAGATGAGACGTAATACTTCACCGTGTGCAAAGTTTCTGAAAACTTTCACCTTTAAATAGAAAAGCAGAAACATAAACTGCATCAATATGTATAATTCTTAAAGACAGAAAGGCTGAAGGCTAGAATAAAGCAGATTTTTCAGAAGGGTTGATGCCTTTACGAGTTCCCAACAGCATAATTCTAACTTCATATCTTGCATAATTACATTTCTTGTTAAACACGTGCTCTTGTAAGCCGATGCCTTAAAAAGCGTTTTTGCTATTATTTGATATTTAGCTTTATATTGCTTAGAGTAAGCGCTAAATTCACAGTTGCAACTTAGGGAAGTCATGCTCGACATATCAAACCTTCCACAGCTCTTCTGCATGGCATAGAAAAGATCATAAGAGAGCGGTGAACCGTTATCCTTGCTGAATTTGATATTCGGTGAGTATTAGTTCGAGTCAGGCATAACTGAGCGACTCTGTCTGAACTTGTCATATGATTGTTGCACTGGTACACTAATTAGAGCAGGTCTGTGGTTAGGGAATTGCACCATTTGACTCGTCCTTTAAAGTACAATCCTACATTTGGCATTATTGAGTAGCCCCATTATTAAGAAGAAACTTCGAACTTCTATATAAAAGAACTTCTCTTTAGTAGTCTTTATCGAGTCGTGGTAAAGTTCCACGCCCCTGTGGACTCTGCAGGCCATGGAACCACTACAACGATCAAATGAGATTGGCCGTAAAGTTTCCGTCTTAACAAAAAGAGGCAGATAGTGGAATATAACTTACTTTCCGGTAATAATTATATTTGGAGACATTAAAGGACAATATCTCATACATTCATGAGGGTCTCAAACAATTTATCAATAGAAAATTACATTTTGTGTTCACTAAAAAAATTTGTATGTCTGCCAAGAAAGGTAGATTTCATGACTCTCGGCCATCCATTTGGTTTTCGATGTTGCTAGGGGGGTAAATGATTTTACGCCAGACACGAGGTGAAGATAGCAATGAATGCTTAGTAAAATGCAACAAAAAGACTTCATGTATCACGATATCTATTTACTTCATATACTGAAAATGACTTTAGGTTTTGCAATTGTGAGAAAGGAATATTAAGTGAAATGCTACGCTACCTCTGTCCTCCGGATCTACATCAAACTATTCAAACAGAAACACACTTGGCAATTAAAGAGAGAAGAATTTATTTTGGATATGTTATCACTAAGTGAAGATGACAACAAAAATACAAATTAATACTTAAGTGTCTATTAAGGTATTAAGATATACTTCTTACAAAAAACTTTTCAATTCAGAAAAATATTGTACTTGGAAAGAAAGAGCGAATTATGTCAACAAAGTTTTGAATATCTATACTTCCAATGGCAACAACTATTTCTGGACAAAAGCATTAGAGAAATTTGAAAGCAATTGTAAGTTTTACCTTTTTCTAGTGTGTTCTTAAAAATAAAACATGCACGTGTAACTAGGAGTGAACAGTATTTAAGAGAGAAGGCACAGCATATGACGTTAATCGAATGAAAGGTATGTTAAAATCATTTTGATGCTAATATTTAAAATTTATGCAATAGGCGGACATTTGCACTGAGCTGATGGCTTCTTGTGATGATATTTTTCATGATATTTTCTATGAACCAAGATGCTACCTTGCCATTCTACTTGAAAAATCGACAAAACCAGAAAATCATGCGCAACTGGTTTATGGGCGCTTAATCTCGTTAGTAAAAATTAAGAAGTGCGGTAAGCTGCGGGTACCAAACGGACCTTCAGTTAATCCCTTGATTGATATGGGTAAGAGAACCTGCTATGCTAACCGCAAAATGTTGCATTACATTGCTCTGCAATTGTATAGGTATTGTTTGATAGCAACTGTTTGTTTCCATGGCAACAAGTCCAATGATAAATTCAGTGACATGATATAGTTCCTAAAGATATTGATGAACTAAAGTGAATTTTTCATTTGCGGAATTGACAAGAACCATAAATTCATGTCGTCTGCCTGGTACTCAAATTCCTTTTATTCTAAATTGAACTTCGATATATGCTAAACATTTGCTAATCCTTAGTTAGCATGCCGTGTTTTAGCAATAAGGCATAATAAAGTATGATAAAGCCAAAAGTTTTGAAATATTGAGAGCTTGCGTAGAACCGCGAAAGAATCACATTATGGCTAATTTTTCCCATGGCCACCTTATGTTACATAACTTTTTTTGAATTTGATTCTCCATTCACGCCACTACTTGACATGGCCGTTACCAAGACTTGCTAGAACCATATCTACGCCCCCATGATTTGCTTTCGTTGTGACCCATCTCTTGCAACCTGCTTGATTGGCAGATCCATCTCTTGCAACCTGCTTGATTGGCAGATCCATCTCTTGCAACCTGCTTGATTGGCAGATCCATCTCTTGCAACCTGCTTGATGGCGCAGCATTTTATGAGATCCAGAGGGTTAATTCCAGTTCTTTTTAACAAAGCCACACAAACGATTTCGTAATGGCTTAGTACACTTAGTACTGACTTAGTACACAAGAAATAGTCTCTAAGAATAGGAAAAAACTGTCCGAATAATTAATTATGCAAAAAATTCGGAATATGCGTGATCTAGACTATTCTCTCTATTGCGAATGAAAACTGAAGAAGGAAGCAAACTTCTTCCAGGGATGAATTTGCTTTAGACGCAATGATCTGAAAACACATCGTTTCCGTGAAATCAAAAAATTTCATTTTCATGTAGATTAAACTGTGTTAAATGTAAAAGTAAGACTGCGTTAAAGTAGCCTAAAAAGCTATTTTCTCAAGTCTCTTTTTTTATTGCATCAAATTATGAGGCCCGGGATAGCTAAATTATTTTAAAAGATGTCGTACATAGAAACATGGCTAGCGATACCGTCATGCTTTAAGATACCTAATGCTTTTTTGCTTCACTGCCTCAACGGATGCAGAGATTAAAAGCTGCTTGACCAAAGACGCATTTAATTTCAGAAGCATTTCAGAAATCAGATATTAATAAGCTTAAAATGTCATAAGAATTGTGAAGAATTGAAAGCATCATTCGCATTGCAAATCCATCGTTTACTTTAGGCTTAAAACAAAAACAGAACGTAAGCTACCATTCTATATTTACCTCTCAGTGATGCAGTAACCTCGTTACAGCAATTCTTCAAATGCTTTTACACATTCCAAAAGCTTTTTCATTCAAAACATATTGTTGATTTTAATACCTTTGTAACAGTGTACTTGTTTTCATATTTTTAAATGCGAAAGGAATTACCAAAAGACTATTAAACAAAAAAGATTGGGATAGAAGTCTTTAAGAAGCTTTGGGTACTTAAGTTTTTGAATATTCGACCAAAAGTATCCCTTGATGACGGCATCCCTGTGGCATAGAGGTGGAAGCCAAAGGACGGGTCAGTTTAATGAAGCATTCATTTTGAAATTGGATTATAGAATCCTGCTCTTGAGAAACATCACTTTGGTTTATCGAAAAATTTTAGACAGTGTTTAGTTGAGATGATAGACCACCCACATAACGGACCCATGATGAATCTCATTTTGGTTTGGACACGACTTCAATTGGCCACCCTTAGATGTCCCCGTCCACTTGTCAAGCCGTTTTGCATTCAATCTCTGAAACAGACAGTTTTGTCCGCTTATCGTTGAGAAATCGAAATACAAGGCTGTCATCTAAAAAGACTTTTTCTATTACAAATAACGAGTCCTGCTGGACAGTTGAATGGTTTAGAGGTGATGTCAAACTTCAGAGACTATAAAGAGCAGTCATTTACAAAATGAACATTACTCTTAAAGAAATAAAAAGTCAGTAAATCATATCAAGTTGGTTAAACGAGCAGATATAGCTCCTTTCCTCTTTCTTTAAACTTGGCAACCATAACAAAAAATAACTTGGTACAAGAAAGCTGACTTGACGCCTCCGTAATTTTTTAGGCACCTGGGCGCTCTATAGAGAGAGTGTAAGTATTGTCTCTATATCATGTCAAGAATATGTATTTGTTGAATAAAGGCCATTAGCTGTTGACAAACTGTTTCAAAGTATTCAAAAGGTGTTAATTTTGTAGTTAATCGGTCTTATTTTTTAATTTACTATAATAATTAGCTTGATTTAAACAGTTCTATGTCTGCATTTAAGAAAATTCTAAATTTTAATTGAATGAGTCCAAAGTGTGATTTTTCAAAAGTCATTTCTTCATTCCGATGAGATATTCCGAGTTGCTGTGAATCTCTTAAAACTCAAAAATACATGCTATTAGTTTTGCAGATAAATGTCAGGCAATCTTGATAAACTACGATGTTTAGAGATAGGCATGTCTCCAGAATGAACGTAAATAGAATTTCAATTTTTAATCAAAGGTGAAGCTTTTGGGGCATTTCAGCTACCGCAGTCAGCTCAAAAGGTGTATTTGAAAGACCACAGAAGAGGACGTCAGGATATCTACTTACGAAAACAACACATTTTTCGTTTCACCTGGAACTTTCTGTTTTTTGAGTGTAGGCAGAAGGTTGCTGTGGTAACGGTGACACTTTGTCAGACAAATGAAATTCGCTTTTGAAACAGATGCATTATTCGAGTAGCGTTAAGAGGCAGGATATTGGTATTAAGGAAAGCTTATATGAAGAAGTAAAGGAAAAAGAAAACTTGTATGAAAGCGTGGCCAGTTAAAAATGGTTTACAAGGCTTAAACTTGTTTAACGTCATTTGTTTCTTATTAGAGCATAATGTCTCAAAATAGGATCACATTTGAACGGAAAGGAAACGAAGGCAGTTAGGACGTTTTTGTCATATTTTCTCAAGATGATTGAATGAAAGGCTTTCCTAATAGAATCCTTTTTCTCTACAGCTAAGTCTTTACGTGGGTTGTTTGATGCTTCATATCCACAGAATGAACCTTCAAATTGACTGAAGAGTATTTTAGTCCCCGTTTTGGCTTATCCTTGGCATTAATACGATGTCCAGGAAATTCTATTTAAATTTGCAATAACATGTCTGATTTTCTTGCTTATAGATCTCGTAACACCACCACATACCTAACGATATTTCCTGAACAAGAACAAAAATGCTGATTAATCCAAATTTTTGTGGTCGTTTTCAGGTCCAGAACTACGTGCAAAACAGCCTGCAAAGTGGATAATATAACTCATTCAAAGTGCGTTTCAGCTTCCTGATATGCTTTTTTGTTTGCACAGAGAAGTTGCAATTCAAAGCCGGTAAGGACCTAAGTTTTTTCTAGCAATTTGTTTTGAAATTTGAATTGAAGCGTCAAAAAGAAAGTGTTCTTTTTGCACTTTAAAAATGTGATTCTCGAGATAACTTATTTTGCCAATCGTTCCATATAGTAAACAATTTGGGATGCAAATCCTGGAAATAAATTGCTGCAATTAGAACCAGGGTTTAAATCAAGTGCATTGAAGGCCACATTGCCATTTTACAAAATTGCAAGCAATCAATTCATCTTTTGGTTGACCAGATACCAAACAGAGGCATATCCAGACTACAGCAACCTATGCAGAAGCATAAGTCAGATTTTTAAAGCAACAAACAAAAAATTTAAACTATTGGAATCTTTAATTAATAGTTCCTTTGTCAAATTTTTTAGTAACTTCCGTCCTAGATCTGCCTCCAATGACACTAACTGTATGCGAAGGACAGAGCATATATTATGCTGATTATCTTTTGGCCTCTGCACTGAACAGTCGGGTGGCGATTCCAGGGATTTTCCTGGTCTGCATTTTCTGAATCCCGTACCTTGCCTTCTTGTAAGCCAATAAAATTTCACTTCACCTCTGCAATCTTTGGTGCTAGCAAAGTCAGATTTGTTTTTTTTTCGAATGAGAAGTCGTGTTTGCCTCTGCAGCAGTTCAGGCAACCAATTGACCTATGCATCAGGGAACCAAGTTGACCTATGCAAATTTTTATGCTAGACCTAGGCAATGGTTTGTTGCATCCAATGAAATAGGAGTTGACAATATCTGCCTCACCCCTGCCTATGGATTTCTACCAAGTCAGTCAACAAGGAAGTGTCAACCAGGTAGTTTTGTGCTATTTTCAATGCGCTGTGAAAATGGGGTCCATGGTTGGGATCCTATCACGGACAGTTAAAACTCAGATATTTTTTCTTCAACCTTTTTCCTGCAGGTAAATTTACCCTTCCATACTTTTGTGGGTTGGTTTCATCGACCTCCTTTAATGAACCCACTTTTTAAATTACAGTGAAAATGATTATACTTCAAAAAAATGTGGGCGTTTCCAACACAAAATGATGTGGATTCTCTTTCTGAAAATGTTTGCATAGGTCAGAATTCAGGCTGGATCCGCGCCTGCCAAAGTTTTCTTCATTTCAAATGATCTCAAAAGGAGCATATGCATTTGGTCGGGAGTGGTAGTCTAAAAGTCAGCTAGTTGAAAATTAAGCAAAATAGAAACCAGGCGGGAACCTTGTAGTGAATATAGCCACACAACCACTTTCATTTTATCAATTTAGAGGTTTGTGCTTCTAGAAACATGGCAAAACTTTCAATGGCGAATAGATTTGAGACCTTGAGTTTGGAAATGAAGTTCAGACATTAAGAAAATCTTTAAGAAAATTCCATATTTATACTAATAGAAGTGTTTTCTTTGAAATCAATGCAAGCATCATTCCGCCAAGGCTTTTTTCTCATGAACATCGATATTCTTTTCATTTCGTGCATAGCATGGTGTTGCTACCAAAGCACATCAACAGACACCAGTTTTTGAACTGAATCAAAAGGCCCAAAATATTTTATATACTTTTTCAAAATTACAACCTTTCGGAAAGAGCTGGCGTGGCATAGCCTCATTTCCTTTGGCAATAAGCTTTGCATTGAGAATGTCATTTTACGTAACAAACTTTCAAGAATACAAAGTATTTTACTGCGTTGTAAACTTGGGATGATTTTGTAAACTGTTAAAGCTACAAAAGAGTTGTCTTCTTTTATTGTTAGACTTCAATTAACTAACCTGTTTCTTTGATCGCGAGTGAATTGTTTGGTATTTATATCCCGATGAAAATGGACACTGCCTTAATCTAAGACGTATTCTGAGTTTTTGATTTTTATAAAAAGTAAATAACAATGTTTCTTGCTGCAAAAAATAAAATATTTAGAAAAAGCAAACACTAATGAACATTGACTGCGCCAAGGAATGGTATAGTGGAAAAACCCTTGCCCTCTCTTGTCAAAACACGATTCTCACAATTCTTCTAAAAATTGATAATAATGCTATTGGTAAGTAAAGCTCATATTTGTTAAGACTTGCCCAATGAAAACGTCTGGCATGAATCGCAAGGATAAGGCACAAAAACATGGTCTTATTTGTCATCCCATTTCTCTATACACCATCCCTCCTGCAGTAGCTGGATTCGTCACTGACAATGAAGAAACGGTTTGCTTTGAAAAGCGCAGACTTAAATTCTGAAGGTTCTCTGGTCTCGAGCTGCAGTTAGAATGTGTTGAGCTGCATCTG